CTTCAAAAACCAGACGCAAGGGGTCCCCGAGATTCTTTCAAACTACTTTAAAAACAAAAAAGGGATTTTCGAGATTCTTCAAAAACCAGACGCAAGAGATCCCCGAGATTTTTTCAAACTATTTTAAAAACAAAACAAAAGGGGTATCTGAGATTTTTTCAAATTATGTACTTCAAAAACTAAGTATAAGCGATTCCCAAAATTCTTTCAAACTATTTACTTCAAAAAGTAGGCAGAAGGGGTCCCCGAGATTCTTTCAAACTACTTCAAAAACTACGTAAAAGCAATTCCCAAGATTCTTTCAAACTACTTCAAAACCAAAACCAAAGTGGGTCCCCGAGATTATTTAGAACTACTTCAAAAAGAAAACTAAAGGGGTCTCCAAGACTATTTCAAACTACTTCAAAAACCAAACAAAAGGAGCCCTCGAAATCCATTCAAACCACTTCAAAAACCAGGTAGAAACCAATCCCAAGATTTGTTCAAACTATTTACTTTAAAAACATCCCTAAAGAGGTCCCCGACATGATTTCTAGCAATGTACTTCAAAACCCAGACGCAAAAGGTCCCCGAAACTCTTTCAAACCACTTCAAAAACAAAACAAAAAGGGTTTTTGAGATTCTTTCAAACTACTTTAAAACCAAAACAAAAGTAGTCCCCGAGATTCTTTCCAACTACCTCAAAAACAAAACTAAAGGGGTCCCCGAGATCATTTCAAACTATGTACTTCAAAAACCAGACGCAAGAGGTCCCTGAGATTCTTTTAAACTGCTTCAAAAACCAGGTAGAAGGGATTTCCAAGATCCTTTCAAAGTATTTACTTCAAAAAGAAATCTAAATGGGGCCCCGAGATAATTTCAAACAAGGTACTTTAAACCAGACGCAAGAGCTCCCTGAGATTCTTTTACACTGCTTCAAAAACCAGATAGAAGTTATTTCCAAGATTTTTTCAAATTATTTACTTCAAAAAGAAAACTAAAGGAGTCCCAGAGATTATTTCAAACTATTTCATAAACAAAACTAGAGGGGTCCCCGAGATTTTTTTAAACTATATACTTCAAAAACCAGACGCAAGGGGCTCCGAGATTCTTTTAAATTACTTCAAAAACCAGGTAGAAACGATTGCCAAGATTCTTTTAAACTATTTACTTCAAAAATAAAAATAAAGGGGCCTCCGAGATTATTTTAAACTATGTATGTACTTCAAAAACCAGATGTAAGAGGTTCTCCAGATTCTTTCAAATTACGTCAAAACTAAAACAAAAGGGGTTCCTGAAATTCTTTAAAACTACCTGAAAACCAAAACAAAAGTGGTCCCCGAGATTCTTTCAAACTACTTCAAAAACAAAATTAAAGGGGGTCCCCAAGATCATTTCAAACCATGTACTTCGAAAACCAGACGCAAGAGGTCCCTGAGATTCTTTTAAATTGCTTCAAAAACCAGGTAGAAGGGATTCCCAAGATTCTTTCAAACTATTTACTTCAAAAAGAAAACTAAAGGAGTCCCAGAGATTCTTTCAAACTACTTCAAAAACCACACGCATGTGGTTCCTGAGATCCTTTTAAACTGCTTCAAAACCAGATACAAGGTATTTCCAAGATCTTTTCAAACTATTTACTTCAAAAACAAAACTAGAGGGGTTCCCGAGATTATTTCAAACTATGTATTTCAAAAACCAGACGCAAGAGGCCCCTGAAATTCTTTTCAACTGCTTCAAAAACCAGGTAAAAGGGATTCCCAAGACTCTTTCAAACTACTTACTTCAAAAAGGAAAAAAAAGGAATCCCAGAGATTCTTTCGACACTACTTCAAAAACCACACGCAAGTGGTCCCTGAGATTCTTTTAAACTGCTTCAAAAACCAGATAGAAGGTATTTCCAAGATCTTTTCAAACTATTTACTTCAAAAAGAAAACTAAAGGAGTCCCAGAGATTCTTTCAACACTACTTCAAAACCCAGACGCAAGGGGTCCCTGAGATTCTTTTAAACTACTTCAAAAACCGGGTAGAAACGATTCCCAAGATTCTTTTAAACTATTTACTTCAAAAATAAAAATAAAGGGGCACCCGAAATTATTTCAAAATATGTATGTATTTCAAAAACCAGATGTAAGAGGTTCCCGAGATTCTTTCAAATTACTTCAAAACTAAAACAAAAGGGGTTCCTGAGATTCTTTCAAACTACCTGAAAACCAAAGCAAAAGTGGTCCCCTAGATTCTTTCAAACTACTTCAAACACAAAACTAAAGGGGGTCCCTAAGATCCTTTCAAAACATGTACTTCAAAAACCAGACGCAACAGGTCCCTGAGATTCTTTTAAACTGCTTCAAAAACCAGGTAGAAGGGATTCCCAAGATTCTTTCAAACTATTTACTTCAAAAAGAAAACTAAAGGAGTCCCAGAGATTTTTTCAAACTACTTCAAAAACCGCACGCAAATGGTCCCTGAAATCCTTTTAAACTGCTTCAAAAACCACAGATAGAAGGGATTTCCAAGATCTTTTCAAACAATTTACTTCAAAAAGAAAACTAAAGGAGTCCCAAAGATCATTTCAAACTACTTCAAAAACAAAACTAGAGGGGTCCCCGAGATTATTTCCAACTATGTACTTCAAAAACCAGACACAAGAGGTCCCTGAGATTCTTTTAAACTGCTTCAAAAACCAGGTAAAAGGGGTTTTCAAGATCCTTTCAAACTATTTACTTCAAAAAGAAACTAACGGAATCCCTGAGATTATTTCAAACTATGTACTTGAAAAATCAGACGCAAGAGGTCCCCGAGATTCTTTTAAACTATTTCAAAAACCAGATAGAAACGATAACCAAGATTCTTTTAAACTATTTACTTCAAAAATAAAAATAAAGCGGCACCCGAAATTATTTCAAAATATGTATGTACTTCAAAAACCAGATGTAAGAGGTTCCCGAGATTCTTTCAAACTACTTCAAAAACCACACGCCAATGGTCCCTGAGATCCTTTTAAACTGCTTCAAAAACCAGATAGAAGAAATTTCCAAGATCTTTTCATACTATTTACTTCAAAAAGAAAACTAAAGGAGTCCCAAAGATTATTTCAAACTACTTCAAGAACAAAACTAGAGGGGTCCCCGAGATTATTTCAAACTATACACTTCAAAAACCAGACGCAAGAGGTGCCTGAGATTCTTTTAAACTGCTTCAAAAACCAGATAGGAGGGATTTCCAAGATCTTTTCAAACTATTTACTTCAAAAAGAAACTAACGGAGTCCCTGAGATTATTTCAAACTATGTACTTCAAAAACCAGACGCAAGAGGTCCCCGAGATTCTTTTAAACTACTTCAAAAACCAGGTAAACTATTTACTTCAAAAAGGAAAAAAAGGAGTCTCAGAGCTTCTTTCAAACTGGTTCAAAAACAAAACTAAAGGCGTCCCCGAGATAATTTCAAACAAGCTACTTGAAAAACCAGGCCCAAACGGTCTCCAAGATTCTTTTAAACTACTTCAAAAACAAAAAGGGTTCCTGAGATTCTTTCAAATTACTTCAAAACCAAAACAAAAGGGGTCCCCGGGGTTTTTTCTAAGTACTTCAAAAACAAAACAAAAGGGATTCCTGGGATACTTTCAAATTACTGCAAAATCATAGATTCTTTCAAACTACACACTTCAAAAGCAAAACGAAAGGGGTCCCCGAGATTCTTTCAAACTAGTTCAAAAACAAAACAAACGCGGTCCGCTAAATTCTTTCAGACTACTTTAAAAATAAAACACAAAAGGTCCCCGATATCCTTTCAAATGAATGAACAAAATCGGAATTTTGTATATTTTGTATAGTTTTTGAAAGTTTCTTCAGACAATAAAAATTTCTCTCATTAATAATTTAGCTTCGCAGGAACATCGACGCATAATTCAAAATAATACCTAAATGTGCTCGCTGCGCTCGTATTCTTACGTTTATGAATGAATCATCAGTGAGTTTTTTTTTTTGACAATTTAACTTCCAGACCGTTTAATAAAAATTCGAAATAACCCCATAAGCTCTAATGCTTTAAACCAAACACTCCCATTTCCAACCCGCCACCACCCAGCCGGAAAGATACGAATTGTGCATTGATTTCAGAGATTTCAGGGTCCGCTGATTCCGGTCGCACTCAGCAAAAATACTACCTATAGTTCGCATCCACCAAACCGAAAAGATATAAATATCACTCATCTTCATAGACTGTAAATTATTATTTCATAAACCCCGTGTAACTAAATCGATACCCCTGGCGGATTTGAATATTCCAGTGCACATTTATTTTAAAGTGGACCAGTTACAATTGCACTCATTTGGACGCTAATGAATAATTTATCAGCGAACCCTGTTTGTCTGCCTCTCTGTGATACTCCCATCACATTTGCAAGTTGGCAGAGTTGACACAGAATGAAAACTCCAACAAAAATTGATGATATATTGGAGTTGGGACGCGTTTTTTCAGATGGGTAATGGAATGGTCGTGTTAAGCCAGGTTATTTACTTTTTTGGGTGAATAATAATGTAACCAGGCGGAAAATAACGGACGTTCCGCCCCCGGATAGTTATGTAATTGTTCGTCGAGGGGTTCAATTAAACTTCAAGACTGCATTAAAATGCAAATAAAATCGATTAAGGGCCGATCGAGTTGGCAAGAGTTTGAGGGTCGTCGAAGACAAAAGACGGATTTCGAACAATAAGCGCTCAAACTTGGATTTTTTCGCAAAATTTAATGACTATTCGTCCTCTGTAGAAAGTTGATGACGTCATCGCAAAAATGTGCTTCTAAATAGCGCACTACTTAATTAATAATTAACTTCATTGAGCAACTTTTACTATTGATAAAAAAGCAACAATAACAACATTCTTTCGAAAGCACGCTGGTTATTTTTACCGCGCCCCCCGAATCCACCTCCCACTTCACTTAATTTCAATTCTTGTTGACATTGTTGACACATCACAACTAAATTCCAAAATCCTTAAGAAAAATGTGAAAAATACTCACAAGTGCGAAGAAGCACGACCAAAGTTGCCGAAAACACGCAAAACTTCATGCTGCCCTTTTTACTCACAAAAACGAACTATAAAGTCTGATGGGTCTTGGTGAATCATTCAAAACCACACCTCCGCTACACAATTGAACGTTGGGTTCGCTGGGTTGGCTTGTGACGAACAGGTGGTCAATGAAAGTTGAGCGGTGGAAGAGTGTTGGCTGGACGAAGGTAGGTGGAATAATGGAATAATGGAGGTAGAGGAGCCGACGACACGGTTGAAGAGTGTGTTGCGTTCAGCGAGTCGTAGTCCGGGCAACATTTTTCCGGCTTGGATCACAACATTGGAGGAAAAGCGGAAAGTAATTGGGTTAAATAGTACAAAGGTAGAGGTAATTGCGTTAGTGTGTTCGAGGGGCTGGGAGTTCACATTCACAGTTCGTTTTTTTTAATACACCACACTCTTTTGTCCCTAAATATGACTTGAAATGTGTCAAAAATGACAATAACTTGTACATTTTATTTTGGAAAGTGGATAGATGAAGAAATATTTTGACAGACGATTAAGCCCCACCCACCCACCCCAGTCTCCATTGTAACGAACTTTTCATTCGTCGTCAGACCAAGGGGCGGAGCTTAATTGTAAAATCCATACTTCCCTACAAAAATTCAAATGTGGTTTAAGTTTCTTGTTTTGAAAAGAAAACTACGTATATTTAAAAACAAAACCGCGAAATATAAGCCCCGCCCACCCACTCTGTCTCAATTGTGAGGATTCTTCTTTCTCCACAAGAAATAACCATGTGACATTTGTTTTGAAGTATCGTATTACTGAAAGAAAACTATGTGTTAAGAAAAAAAAAGTAAAAAATATGCTCCACCCACCCGCCCTAATCTCCATTGTAATGAATGTTTCATTCGCCGTGAGACCGAGGGGCGGAGCTTAATTGTAAAATCCAGAGTTCTCTGCAAAAAATATTATTAAAGTTATTAAATATGTAAGTATTAAGTATCTTGTGAACAAAGCAAAACAAAGCAATTATATAGATATCCATATCAATTGTAACGATTTTTTTATTCGTCGTAACCTTGGGGGGCGGAGCTTAATCGCAAAATCCTTATTTCTCCACAAGAAATGTTTTTTAGTGTAGTGTTGTTGAAAGAAAACTATATATATTAAGGAAAACACAACAAAAATTAAGCCCCACCCGCCCCAATCTCAATTGTGACGAATTTTTCATTCGTTGTCAGACGGTGGGGCGGAGCGTAATTGCAAAATCCGTATTTTCCTACAAAGATTTACCATTTTAAATATGTTTCAAGTTTCCTATAGAAAAATCTAGAAGGCGAGAAGTCGAAAAATTGAGAAATCGAAAAATCGGAAAAATGAAGATTCGATAAATTGAAATATCGAAATTTTAAAAAATAGAAAAATCGAAGTTGAAAATTTGAGAAGTCGAAAAATAAGAAATCAGGATGTCGAAAAATTGAGAAATCGAAAAATTAAAAAACCCACAAATGGAGAAATTGAAAAATCGAAAGTCGAAAAATCGATAAAGTGAAGAATCGAAAAATTTAAATTCGAAATTTTGGAAAATCGACGAATAAGGAAATCGAAGTTGAAAAATTGATGTTATTTTATATTTTCTGTAATTGGGTTATACTACCTGTAGAAAATAAAATAAATTATTAAATTGAGAAGTCGAAAAATAAGGAATCAAAATTTCGAAAAATTGAAAATTCGATAAACTGAGAAATCGAAAAGTAAAAAAATCTAGAAATCAAAAAGTCGAAAAACTGAAAAATCGAAAAGTAGGAAACACGAGAAATCGAAGTTGAAAAATTGAGAACTCGAAAAATAAGAAATTAAAATTTCGAAAAATTGGGAATTAAAAAACTGAGAAATCGAAAAGTCGAAAAATCTAGAAATCAAGAAGTCGAAAAATTGGGAAATGGAAAAATTAAAAAATCCACAAATCGAGAAATTGAAAAATCGAAAGTAGAAAAATCCAAAAATTGAAGAATCGAAAAATGAAAATTCAAAATTTTGAAAAATCGAAGAATCGGGAAATCGGAGATGAAAAATTGAGAAGTCGAAAAATAAGAAATCAAAATTTCGAAAATTTGGGAAATAGAAAAACTGAGAAATTGAAAAGTCAAAAAATCTAGAAATCAAAAAGTCGAAAAACTGAAAAATCGTAAAGTCGAAAAATCTACAAATCAAGAAGTCGAAAAATTGAGAAATCGAAAAATTAAAAAATCCGCAAATAGAGTAATTAAAAAAAAGAAAGTCGAAAAATCGAAAAAGTGAAGAATTGAAAAATTAAAACTCGAAATTTTGAAAAATCGAACAATTGAGAAATCAAAGTTGAAAAATCGAGAAGTCGAAAAATAGGGAATCAAAATTTCGAAAAATTGAGAATTCGAAAAACTGAGAAATCGAAAAGTAAAAAATCTAGAAATCACAAAGTCGAAAAACTGAAAAATCGAAAAGTAGGAAAAACAAGAAATCGAAGTTGAAAATTTGAGAAGTCGAAAAATAAAATCAAAATTTCGAAAAACTGGGAATTAGAAAAACAAATCGAAAAGTCGAAAAATCCAAAAATTGAAGAATCGAAAAATGAAAATTCAAAATTTTGAAAAATCGAAGAATCGGGAAATCGGAGATGAAAAATTGAGAAGTCGAAAAATAAGAAATCAAAATTTCGAAAATTTGGGAAATAGAAAAACTGAGAAATTGAAAAGTCGAAAAATTTAGAAATCAAGAAGTCGAAAAATTGGGAAATCGAAAAATTAAAAAATCCACAAATCGAGAAATTGAAAAATCGAAAGTCGAAAAATCGAAAAAGTGAAGAATCGAAAAATTAAACTTCGAAATTTCGAAAAATCGAAGAATCGGAAAATCGAAGTTGAAAAATGGAGAAGTCGAAAAATAAGGAATCAAAATTTCGAAATATTGAGAATGCGAAAAACTGAGAAATCGAAAAGTCAAAAAATCTAGAAATCAAAAAGTCGAAAAACTGAAAAATCGTAAAGTCGAAAAATCTACAAATCAAGAAGTCGAAAAATTGAGAAATCGAAAAATTAAAAAATCCGCAAATAGAGAAATTAAAAAAAAGAAAGTCGAAAAATCGAAAAAGTGAAGAATTGAAAAATTAAAACTCGAAATTTTGAAAAATCGAACAATTGAGAAATCAAAGTTGAAAAATCGAGAAGTCGAAAAATAGGGAATCAAAATTTCGAAAAATTGAGAATTCGAAAAACAGAAATCGAAAAGTAAAAAATCTAGAAATCAAAAAGTCGAAAAACTGAAAAATCGAAAAGTAGGAAAAACGAGAAACCGAAGTCGAAAAATAAGAAATCAAAATTTCGAAAATTTGGGAATTAGAAAAACTGAGAAATCGAAAAGTCGAAAAAACTAGAAATCAAGAAGTCGAAAAATTGGGAAATAGAAAAATTAAGAAATCCACAAAACGAGAAATTGAAAAATCGAAAGTAGAAAAATTGAAAAAGTGAAGAATCGAAAAATTAAAATTCGAAATTTTAAAAAATCGAGGAATCGGGAAATCGAACTTGAAGAATTGAGAAGTCGAAAAATAAGGAATCAAAATTTCGAAAAATTGAGAATTCGAAAAACTGAGAAATCGAAAAGTAAAAAAATCTAGAAATCACAAAGTCGAAAAACTGAAAAATCGAAAAGTAGGAAAAACAAGAAATCGAAGTTGAAAATTTGAGAAGTCGAAAAATAAAATCAAAATTTCGAAAAACTGGGAATTAGAAAAACAAATCGAAAAGTCGAAAAATCCAAAAATTGAAGAATCGAAAAATGAAAATTCAAAATTTTGAAAAATCGAAGAATCGGGAAATCGGAGATGAAAAATTGAGAGGTCGAAAAATAAGAAATCAAAATTTCGAAAATTTGGGAAATAGAAAAACTGAGAAATTGAAAAGTCGAAAAATTTTGAAATCAAGAAGTCGAAAAATTGGGAAATCGAAAAATTAAAAAATCCACAAATCGAGAAATTGAAAAATCGAAAGTCGAAAAATCGAAAAATTAAAATTCGAAATTTCGAAAAATCGAAGAATCGGAAAATCGAAGTTGAAAAATTGAGAAGTCGAAAAGAAGGAATCAAAATTTCGAAATATTGAGAATTCGAAAAACTGAGAAATCGAAAAGTCAAAAAATCTAGAAATCAAAAAGTCGAAAAACTGAAAAATCGTAAAGTCGAAAAATCTACAAATCAAGAAGTCGAAAAATTGAGAAATCGAAAAATTAAAAAATCCGCAAATAGAGTAATTAAAAAAAAGAAAGTCGAAAAATCGAAAAAGTGAAGAATTGAAAAATTAAAACTCGAAATTTTGAAAAATCGAACAATTGAGAAATCAAAGTTGAAAAATCGAGAAGTCGAAAAATAGGGAATCAAAATTTCGAAAAATTGAGAATTCGAAAAACTGAGAAATCGAAAAGTAAAAAATCTAGAAATCACAAAGTCGAAAAACTGAAAAATCGAAAAGTAGGAAAAACAAGAAATCGAAGTTGAAAATTTGAGAAGTCGAAAAATAAAATCAAAATTTCGAAAAACTGGGAATTAGAAAAACAAATCGAAAAGTCGAAAAATCCAAAAATTGAAGAATCGAAAAATGAAAATTCAAAATTTTGAAAAATCGAAGAATCGGGAAATCGGAGATGAAAAATTGAGAAGTCGAAAAATAAGAAATCAAAATTTCGAAAATTTGGGAAATAGAAAAACTGAGAAATTGAAAAGTCGAAAAATTTAGAAATCAAGAAGTCGAAAAATTGGGAAATCGAAAAATTAAAAAATCCACAAATCGAGAAATTGAAAAATCGAAAGTGAAAAATAGAAGAATCGGGAAATCGAAGTTGAAAAATTGAGAAGTCGAAAAATAAGGAATCAAAATTTCGAAAAATTGAAAATTCGAAAAACTGAGAAATCGAAAGTAAAAAAATCTAGAAATCAAAAAGTCGAAAAACTGAAAAATCGAAAAGTTCGAAAAACGAGACATCGAAGTTGAAAAATTGAGAAGTCGAAAAATAAGAAATAAAATTCCGAAAAATTGTGAATTAGAAAAACTGAGAAATCGAAAAGTCGAAAAATCTAGAAATCAAGAAGTCGAAAAATTGAAAAATTGAGGTCAGAAAATCGAAAAAATACAGAATCGAAAAGTCGAAAAATTGAAAAATCGAAAAATCGAGAAATCAAAGCATAAGACATCAGGATGTAAAAAAAATTGAGAATTCAAAAAATTAACAAATCCAAACACCGAGAAATTGAAGAATCGAAAGTCCAAGCATGGAAAAATCGGGAAATTGGAAATCGAAAAGTCGAAAATTCGAAAAACCGAGATATTAAAAACATTAAGAAACCGAAAATTCAAAAATCGAGAAAATGAAATGTCGAAAAATGTAGAAATCGGAAAACTGGGAAATCGAAAAGTCGAAAAATTGAGAAATCAATTCAAAAACCGAGAAACTGAAAAATCGAAATGCCAAAAAATGAAGTTGTGAAATTGAGGAACCAAAAAGTTAAAAAATTCTGAAATAGGAAAATCGAAAAGTCCAAAAATCGAAAAATCGAAAATCCGAGAAATTCAAACATTAAGAACTGATGAAAAATTTGAAAAATCGAAAAGTCGAAAAGATGAAAAATCGCAAAATTGAAAAATTGAAATTTTGAAAAATCGAGAAGTCGAAAAATGCAGAAATCGAAAGATTGAAAATGGAAAAGTCGAAAATTCGAAAAACCGAGATATCGGAAATTAAAAAACTGAAATATCTAAAATTTAAAAAATTCCGAAAATTGAGAAATCGAAAAGTCGAAAAATTGTGAAAGCGAAAAGTCAAAAACCGAAATATTGAGAATCGAAAAGCTGAAAATCGAAAAACCGGGATATGGAAACATTGAGAAATCGAAAAATCCGAAAATTGAAAAATTCAAAAAAGGTGAAAATGAAGTGTCGAAAAATCAAAAAAACAAAAAATCGAAAAGTCGAAAAATGGAATAATCGAAAAACCGAAAAATTGAAAAATCGAAATAATGAAAAAGTCTAAAATTCGAAAAACCGAGATATCGAAAGAATTAAGAAACTTAAAAACCTATCAATTGAAAAATTCCGAAAATTGAGAAATCGAAAAGCTGAAAATCGAAAAACCGAGATATAGAAATATTGAGAAAATGAAAAATCCAGAAATCGACAAAATCGAAACGTCGAAAAATTGTGAAATCGAAAATTCGAAAAATTGGGAAATCAAAAAATGGAATAATCGAAAAACTGACAAATTATCTCGGTTTTCTCGGTTTTTCACTTTTCGTTTTCACAATTTTTCGACTTTTCGGTTTCTCAATTTTCGGAATTTTCCAACTGATAGATTTTTCAGTTTCTTAATGTTTCGACATCTCGGTTTTTCGAATTTTCGACTTTTCATAATTTCGATTTTTTCATTTTGGACTTCTAGATTTTTTAATTTCTCGATTGACTTTTCGATTTTTCAATTTTTCAGCTTCTCGATTTTTCACTATTTCGATATCTCAATTTCTCGGTTTTTCGATTATTCCATTTTTCGATTTCTCAATATTTCGACTTTCCGACTTCTCAATTTTTCTACTTTTCAATTTCTACATTTTGCGACATTTCATTTCCTCAATTTTTGGATTTTTCAATTTCTCAATGTTTCGATATCCCGATTTTTCGATGTTTCAACTTTTTGATTCTCAATATTTCCATTTTTGAGTTTTCGATTTCACAAATTCACATTTTTTTACTAAAAATTGAAACACCGAGATATCGGAACACTGAGAAGTTAAAAAATTCAAAAATGAGAAAAACATGAAAAATTGAGAATTGAAAAACTGAAAAATCTAAAAATTTAAAAATAAAGAACCAAAAATCGAAAAAACGAGAAACAGAAAAATCGAAAACCTGAAGAACCAAAAAATTGAAAAATCGCAAAAGTGATATATCAAAAAATTGATAAATCGAAATATCGAGAAGTCGAAAAATTGAGCAACTAAAATAACGAAAATTTGGTGCGAACTTCTGATACAGTTTTAAATTTGGCGCCACAATCGTGACGTCAACTCCACGATTAGCCTACTCCTTTCGTTCAAGCACCAATTTTCCACAAGAAAATTGCCACTTATCAGAAAAAATGAGAGCATCTCGTACCATACGAACAATTTAAATTAAAACCCATTAATTGATTTATAAAATATCCAGTAGTACGCCACTGACTTAAACTAGACCCGAAAGCTCGCCGCGAACAAAAACATCGAATGATGTCATCGAGTCTCCATATGCTTCTTCTTGTTCTTCACTTTGCGTCTCATTCCAATCAAGAATCTGTGTTAGCAGTGTTGGTAACACGAGATGGTGCATCCTCATAGGTTACTTAACCAATCCAAGACTAACAATTAAGTCACCTGAGCTCAGAACAGTGAATTAAATCAGTTTTATTACACTATAAACCCTTCACAATGAAGAGAGCATACAGGTAGGACTAGGAAGTAAACCGTTGTGCATGTCCTTGGTAGAATTTTAGAATTTATATTACCGCATGCTGCCAAGCTTTACAGATACATCCCTCCCCTAAAATCACTGACGTCATCTCGAAACATTGCGTAAATTTTAAGCAAATTAGTATCATCCGAAAAAAATTTACTTAGTAACTACATTAATTTAACCAGATTTTATACATACCCGTATTGATTGCGTTTTCATTTATATACTTGACTTCAATAACTGCCATCGTTCATCGACCTTTCACGTTAAAATCGCCTGAACATTCGACTTCTGATCAGGATGACAGATCGTCGAGGAGGTGACACAAGCATGTCCCATCTAGTCATCCAAGCTTTACCCGCCAGCGCCACCTATTAATCACGGTCGTAAGTACCCCCCGTCGCTGAATTAAGTTGCGACCTCTTCAACAATCTACAATCCTGTTACAACATCGCAGATCCAAACTCGTCAGCTCTCATTTTCAAACCTTGACACACTGAATTTATTTTAAATAAAATTAAATTTCCTTAGACAGGTCGAAGAAGAAGACACCGCCCCTAATCCCGCCCCACAACCCCTCCGCTGCCCCTCCTGCAAGCAAAAACTCGACTCCCTCACCTTCTACAACGGCCACCCCAACAACTCCAACGAAGAATTCATTTCTTTGACCAACGAAACGTTGCTGATCTTCACGGGGGAGGAAGAAGATCTTCCAGAGAGCGACTCCAGACCTACCCATAAACTTACAGGGTACTGCGTCTACGACGACCATGGCCACTTAACCCCGTTTGACACGGGTCTAGTGGAAGACAACGTGGTTTTGCGCTTGTCGGGCTACATTAAACCCATTTATATGGAAGATGGGTCCGTGGACGGTGGGGTACCCACGCACGACATGGGTCCCATTAACGCGTGGTACATTTCGGGCTTCGACGGTGGAGAGAAAGCCTACGTGGGGGTGATCACCGCCTACGCTGAATACATTCTAATGGAACCGTCACCAGAGTACTTGGTGGTGGTAACCCCATTTTTGAAAAAAGTACCACTACTGAAGACGATTCTCGAGTTTCTGATGGACTCCGGGTGGGAGAACCCCACCTACGAAGATCTTCTTTTCCATTTACAAACGTGCGGGAACGTGGATTTCGACGAAGAGTTTCTTCTGGAGAACTCGGGGTTCATTTGTAAACAAGTGTTCAATTTTGAAGATGCAGCACCAGATGAAGAACCCTTGATGCGTATTCCGTGTATGAAGACCCTAGTTGAACTGTCTGGAGTGGTTTTAAAGAAGTCCAAAAGCCGCGTTTCAAAGAGGGTACTTCTTCTACTTTGAAAAACCAAACGTGTTGATATTTTTGCTTCAGAATCTTCGTACCACCGTGGAAAGAAAAGCCACCACTACAAAGTTAGTCAAAGCGATTTTCGAAAATTTTTTCCCGCACCAAATCGAAGAAAAAGACGGGAAAATCCTCAAGAAGAAACGTTGCGGGATTTGCGATTCTTGTCAAACCCCGGATTGCGGTACCTGTGCACACTGTAAAGACATGGTCAAGTTCGGGGGGTCCGGAAAGACCAAGCAAGCTTGCAAATTGAGACGGTGCCCAAACATGGAGCCTGAAGATACCGACGACAGTGAAGAGGAAGAAAGTCAGACTCAGACGAAGAAATTTTCTTATAGACAAGTCACAAACAAGATACAGTGGTTAGAAGAACCGTTGCTAGTCGAAGACGAGAAGAAATTCTACAGGAGCGCCCTCGTTGGTAACTTTGATAACTATTAACCACACTTGTGGCTATTTTCGTCAATACAGGTACCACCATCGTCACACCAGAGGACTTCGTCCTCCTCAACCCCGACACCCCCAACAAACCCTTGATCATCGCCAAAATCATTTCTCTTTTCTCCAAATACAACCAACCGACTTTTCACGCCCAAATCTACTACCGAGGTATCGACACCATGCTGGGGGAGACCGCCAACCCCCAAGAACTCTTCGTCGTCGATGTTTGCGAAGACTGTCCTCTGGGTAGCATCGTCGACAAAGCCCAAGTAACACTAAAAGGCATTCCGGACGACTGGTCGCACCTGGGGGGGCTGCAAACCCTCGACGTGCCCAACGACGACAACAAATTCTTCATCAACAAGAGATACGACACCGAAACCGCCAGATTTAGCGACTTCGTTGTGGAAGAGTTGGATGGAGAGTGTCCTTGCTGCAGGTGAGTACCCATGACGAAGTCTTAGTTGAAACGAAGAAGTTGTAGACGAAGAAGTCGCCAAAGACAATTCGACAGTAGAATTCTTGAAGGGGACCGAGTCCAATGGAGAGACCAAATCTATGGAGTAGGGTCCTCGATCTTCTTGCAACCCTCAGTGTACAGATTTAACACCTCGCGCTCCAGTTCCAGTCAAGAGAAAGTAAAATCTAGTGAGTTGAAAGTCATATAGTTGCACTTTCTTGTAGGAGATGGTGGCAATAGATGAAGAGATGTACCCCGAGCGGTACCGAAAGGGTCTGGACACTAACACAGTTGAAGATATAACTGAACCCTTCTGTGTGGCTTTGATTGAAGATCTATACTCAACGAAGAAGTCCAACGACATTAAAATCAAAGCACGGATCTTCTACCGACCTGAGAATACCAAGAACAGTGTGTTTCTAGCTCACGAGAAAGATCTAAATTTGTTGTACTGGACTGACGAAGGTTCACTTCATCTTCTTCCACTTCTTGTAATAATTCTTTCAACTGTAGTTGTCACTACAAGTTTCAATAACGTCACTGGTAAGTGCTACGTGACGTACTGCGATCCCTCGGAAGCCCTAGAATGGTCCAACAAAGGCCCGCTGCGCTTCTACTTCAATGAGGGCTACAACCCGAAGACCTTTGACTATTTCGACGTTCCTAAGCCCGCCCTGAGCATCGGATACTTCGGGAAAGGGAAAGGTAAAGGTAAAACGAAATGTGTGACCTTTGTAGACCCCCCTCCCGAGTGGGAACAAATCGGGCGACCTTTGAGATGCATGGACTTGTTTGCTGGGTGTGGCGGACTGTCGTTGGGTCTCCACCAATCCGGCGTAGCCGAAACCAAATGGGCGGTACGCACCTCCTTCGTAAAAACTAAGTCAAACCCACCCACCAATCACGTGTTGTAGATCGAAATCATGAACAAACCTGCAGAAGCCTTCAAAATCAACATCCACGACTGCAAAGTCTTCACTGAAGATTGTAACAAGATCCTGAAGGAAATTCTAGCGGAAAAGAAGCACCTGCCGAAGAAAGGGGACGTGGAAATTCTTGTTGGAGGACCGCCGTGTCAAGGGTTCTCAAACATGAACAGATTCAGCGCTAGACAGTACTCTCTCCTCAAGAACTCTTTGATTGTGACGTTGTTGAGCTTCTGCGACTACTACAGGTCGGTACAAACCCACTTGCTTTTTTTGTATTTGAGTGACTTTGTAGACCCCAAATCTTCGTCCTTGAGAACGTGAGGCACTTCGCGTTTTTTAAGCGCTCAATGGTACTTAAGTTGACAGTTAGGTGTTTGCTGGAAATTGGGTACCAGGTCACTTTCGGGGTTCTACAAGCCGCCCATTATGGGTTACCCCAAACCCGGAGACGGTTCATCTTATTGGCGGTGGCTCCAGGGTACGTGTTGCCGCGATTACCATCACCGCTGCACGTTTTCGAAAAAAAGGACTACCACTTGTCGGTGACCATAGATGGCGTTAAATACTACAAAGGTAGGGTTGTTTTTGGTGTGCTTGTTGGTACATCGCACGCAAATGTTTTGAGCCTATGGGCGGATCGTTTTTGCCGGTCGTCACCGAAGAAGGCGGTCCAAATCCTTCAAGGGCAGAATTTGTAGGTAGGCTCAAACTACAACGAAATTCACATTTTACCCTATAAAATTTTATTGACAATAACGCGACGGACAGTAGTTATTTATATATATATTTTTTTTAGGTTATTAAATTTGTCTAATCATCCCCACCAATAATGTGATGACGTCACTTCAAATTTATGCATAGTAAATGGGTTTTAAATTGTATACAGTAACACATGTAGTTTATGACTCCGTGTTGAGTTTTTATCCGAAACGTCCAAATTTTTGGAAAAAAATCAAAATTATAAAACAATATTTTGCAAGTTAATTTTGAATTTGCAAAATCGAATACTTTGAAATCTTGCAGATGTTTTAAAATCACGATAAACATGATACATTTTTAATTAAAATATATTTGCTTATCCCTTCTAAAAAATTTATGACGTCACCACAAAATTTTGCAGAATAAATCCTATCTTAAATGTATAAAATATGATATTAATATTTTTTAGATTTGGTTATACAGGCTGTCTCAAAAAAGTTCATGACTGATTCAATTTATTTTATTGAAGAAATCAAGAATAGCAAAACTGAATACTTTGAAATATTGTAGATGTTTTGAAGTTTTTGTAAGCATGGTAACTTTTTCGAAAATTCGATTAATCAAATATGCGCAAAATCAAAAATCGCAAAAACTGAAATTCACTAATGCAAAAAAAAAGAAAATCGAAAAATACAAACCTCAAAAATCGAAAAATCGAAAATTCAAAAAACGGGAAAACCAAAAAATCGTAAAGTCAAAAATCTGTAATATTGAAAATTAAAAAAATCAAAAACAAAAATAAAAAATCGGAAATTAAAATAATCAAAATATATAAAGTAAAAAAATTGCAAAGCCTAAAAACTGAAACGAACTGAAAAATCGAAAAAGCAAAAAATTGGAAAAACAAAAATTCGACAAATCTAAAATCGAAAAAGTGGAAAATCGAAAATCTGAATAAAGAAACTTGGAAATTCTGAAAATTGGAAAATCGAAAACCAAAAAATCGGAAAGTAACAAAATTGAAGTCTAACAGTTGAGAATGGAAAAATTGAAAAATTGAACATAGAAAAATCGATGAATTGAAAAATCGAAAATTCAACTACTCAAATTTTCTAAAAATCGAAAAATCATAAAACTGAAAAATCCAAAATTCTAATCATCAAAAGTCTGAAAACTGAAAATCGAAAATTCTGAAAAGCGGAAAATATAATATCGAAAAATTTAAAAGAAAGAAAATTGAAGTCTAAAAACCGAAGAATGGAAAAATTAAAAATCAAAAATTCGAAAAATCAAAACCGAAAAATTTAAAGATTTAAAAAGAAAATCGAAAAATCAAAAATCTGAAAATTGAAACTCGAAAATTTGGAAAATCGAAAAGTAAAAAAATTGAAGTCTAAAAGCTGAAAAATGGAAAACTGAACAATCGAAAATTCGAAAATCAAATATCGAAAAATCGAAAAGCCGAAAAATCGAAAATTTGATAAATCAGATATGCGAAAAACAGAAAATCTGAAAATACAAAACTGGAAAATCAAAAATCAAAAAATGGAAAAACCGAAAATCAAAAATTCAATGAATCTAATACGTAGGTCGATCGAAAAACTGGAAATTCACAAATCTGAAAAATCGAAAATTTGCAAGATTGAAAAACCGAGAATTGAAAAATCAAAAAACCGAAAAATGGAAAAATCAAAAATCGAAAAATAGGAAAACCGAAAATTCGAAAATTCATAATATTGAAAACTCTAAAAGTCGACAATTCAAAAATCAAAAAACTGGAAAAAAATAATCGAAAAATCGAAAAGTAAACAAATTGCAAAGCCTAAAAGCTGACGAACAGAAAAATCGAAAAATCGCAAAATCAAAAAGTGGAAAATCGAAAACTGGAAATTGAAAAATCAAAACATCGAAAACAGGAATATCGAGAATCGACAAATTAAAAAACCGAAAAATCAAAAAATTAAAAAATCGGAAATCGAAAAATGAAAAAAAAAACGATAATTCAAAAATTTTGTCACAAAACTGACGAACAGAACAATCGAAAAATATCTAAACATGGAAAATCGAAAAATCGAAAATCGGAAAATGGAAAAACCGAAAAATCGAAAATCGAAAACTCGAAAATTCGATGAAACAAATACTCGAAAAAGCGAAAAGGAAAAAAATTGCAAGGCCTAAAAATTGAAAAATCAAAAAATCGAAAAAATGAAAATCGAAAAAACGACGATAAAAAAAAAATCAAAAAATCGAAAAGTGGAAAATCGGAAAGTAACAAAACTGAAATCTAAAAGCTGCAAATTGCAGAACCATAAAAACTGAAACAAACAGAAAAATCGAAAAACCACAAAAGCGGAAAAACGAAAATCGGAAAATCGTAAAATCAGAAAATGGAAAATCGAATAATCGAAAGTTGAAAAATCGAAGGTCGAAAAATAAAACAACCGAAAAATCGAAAAATTTTATGATCAATGGAAAATCGAAAAATCGAGAATAGAATAATTAAAAAACCGGAAAATTGAAAAATCGGAAATCGAAGAATTAAAAACGTAAAATCGAGAATTTAAAAATCAAAAAAATCGGAAAGTAAAATATGATCGAAAAATGCAAAAAATTGCAAAGTCTAAAAACTGACGAACAGAAAAATCAAAAAATCTAAAAATGGAAAGACGAAAAATCGAAAATTGAAAGAATGGCAAATTAGAAAATCGAAAAGTCAAAAATCTGTAATATTGAAAATTAAAAAAATCAAAAATAAAAATAAAAAAATCGGAAATTAAAATAATCAAAATATATAAAGTAAAAAAAATTGCAAAGCCTAAAAACTGAAACGAACTGAAAAATCGAAAAAGCAAAAAATTGGAAAAACAAAAATCCGAAAAATCTAAAATCGAAAAAGTGGAAAATCGAAAATCTGAATAAAGAAACTTGGAAATTCTGAAAATTGAAAAATCGAAAACCAAAAAATCGGAAAGTAACAAAATTGAAGTCTAACAGTTGAGAATGGAAAAATTGAAAAACCGAAAATTCGACTACTCAAATTTTCTAAAAATCGAAAAATCATAAAACTGAAAAATCCAAAATTCTAATCATCGAAAGTCTGAAAACTGAAAATCAAAAATTCGAAAAATCAAAACCGAAAAATTTAAAGACTTAAAAAGAAAATCGAAAAATCAAAAATCTGAAAATTGAAACTCGAAAATTTGGAAAATCGAAAAGTAAAAAAATTGAAGTCTAAAAGCTGAAAAATGGAAAACTGAACAATCGAAAATTCGAAAATCAAATATCGAAAAATCGAAAAGCCGAAAAATCGAAAATTTGATAAATCAGATATGCGAAAAACAGAAAATCTGAAAATACAAAACTGGAAAATCAAAAATCAAAAAATGGAAAAACCGAAAATCAAAAATTCAATGAATCTAATACGTAGGTCGATCGAAAAACTGGAAATTCACAAATCTGAAAAATCGAAAATTTGCAAGATTGAAAAACCGAGAATTGAAAAATCAAAAAACCGAAAAATGGAAAAATCAAAAATCGAAAAATAGGAAAACCGAAAATTCGAAAATTCATAATATTGAAAACTCTAAAAGTCGACAATTCAAAAATCAAAAAACTGGAAAAAAATAATCGAAAAATCGAAAAGTAAACAAATTGCAAAGCCTAAAAGCTGACGAACAGAAAAATCGAAAAATCGTAAAATCAAAAAGTGGAAAATCGAAAACTGGAAATTGAAAAATCAAAACATCGAAAACAGGAATATCGAGAATCGACAAATTAAAAAACCGAAAAATCAAAAAATTAAAAAATCGGAAATCGAAAAATGAAAAAAAAAACGATAATTCAAAAATTTTGTCACAAAACTGACGAACAGAACAATCGAAAAATATCTAAACATGGAAAATCGAAAAATCGAAAATCGGAAAATGGAAAAACCGAAAAATCGAAAATCGAAAACTCGAAAATTCGATGAAACAAATACTCGAAAAAGCGAAAAGGAAAAAAATTGCAAGGCCTAAAAATTGAAAAATCAAAAAATCGAAAAAATGAAAATCGAAAAAACGACGATAAAAAAAAAATCAAAAAATCGAAAAGTGGAAAATCGGAAAGTAACAAAACTGAAATCTAAAAGCTGCAAATTGCAGAACCATAAAAACTGAAACAAACAGAAAAATCGAAAAACCACAAAAGCGGAAAAACGAAAATCGGAAAATCGTAAAATCAGAAAATGGAAAATCGAATAATCGAAAGTTGAAAAATCGAAGGTCGAAAAATAAAACAACCGAAAAATCGAAAAATTTTATGATCAATGGAAAATCGAAAAATCGAGAATAGAATAATTAAAAAACCGGAAAATTGAAAAATCGGAAATCGAAGAATTAAAAACGTAAAATCGAGAATTTAAAAATCAAAAAAATCGGAAAGTAAAATATGATCGAAAAATGCAAAAAATTGCAAAGTCTAAAAACTGACGAACAGAAAAATCAAAAAATCTAAAAATGGAAAGACGAAAAATCGAAAATTGAAAGAATGGCAAATTAGAAAATCGAAAAGTCAAAAATCTGTAATATTGAAAATTAAAAAAATCAAAAATAAAAATAAAAAAATCGGAAATTAAAATAATCAAAATATATAAAGTAAAAAAAATTGCAAAGCCTAAAAACTGAAACGAACTGAAAAATCGAAAAAGCAAAAAATTGGAAAAACAAAAATCCGAAAAATCTAAAATCGAAAAAGTGGAAAATCGAAAATCTGAATAAAGAAACTTGGAAATTCTGAAAATTGAAAAATCGAAAACCAAAAAATCGGAAAGTAACAAAATTGAAGTCTAACAGTTGAGAATGGAAAAATTGAAAAACCGAAAATTCGACTACTCA